ATGGCCTCGCCGAAGCGGCCGACGGGGAAGTGGATCTCGCGGCGCTGGCGCTTGGCCTGGTCGTCACCCAGCCAGTCCTGCAGCAGCGGTGTGTTGAGCGGGGCCGGGCACAGGTTGTTGAAGCGGAAGCCCTCGCGCGCGTGCACGATGGCAAGCTCGCGCGTCAGCGCCAGCACGGCGCCCTTGCTGGCCGTGTAGGCGAGCTGTGGCGTCGCCGAGCCCACCAGCGCCACGATCGACGACGTGTTAATGATGCTCCCCTTGGCCTTGGCGTGCCGGCGCAGCGAGAGCACCGCGTGCTTGCAGCCGAACCACACCCCCTTGACGTTGATGGCCTGCGTCAGGTCCCAGATCTCCTCGGGCGTCCCAATCGCGTCGTCGTCCTTCGCGTGCATGATACCCGCGTTGTTGAAGATGACGTCCACTCCGCCCCACGAGTCGACCGACTCGACCATGGCCTGCACCTGGGGCTCTTTCGAGACGTCGCAGGTCTAGTTGCAGTTCAGGAGTTAGTTTCGGGGGCAGCCATTTGTTTCTTTCTCTTCTTTCCTTATTCTCCTTCTTGGGAGGCCGGGGTGGGGGGTGGGTAGGAGGGGGAAGATGTTGGTTTGGGTCTTTGGTTGTTGACGATAATGGGGGATGATATGATAAGAGTTTCGTACAATTGTCTCGACTCGCTTTGCGTTGGGAACCAGCTGCTCGACCTTGGCCTTGGCCCGCGCGAGTGCCGGCGCCGAGATGTCGGCCATGAGGATACTAGCGCCTTCTTTGGCGAAGAGAATTGACGTCTCGAGACCAATGCCACTATTTAGAAGGCGCCGTGTCAGTCGCCCTGTTTGTGTCCTCCCGATATCTGGTGGATGGGGACGTTTTGATACGCCGGCATGTCGATAGCGCAAGCAACCTCCAAGCTCGAGCAGGCAGGATTGCGCAACTTACCCGGCGGCGCCGGTGATGATGGCGTTCTTGCCGGCCAAACGGCCGCGCACTTCGGCAGCCATGCTAACGTATCAAAGAGTGGAGGGTTTGGTTTCGGTGGATATCACGGTTGGATTAAAATTCTGGACCGTCGTCCTGGAAGGCGTCGCCGTTGACGGGTGGTGGGGTAAGTAGCTACGAGGTGTGCAGTTGAGCACGTGCTCCCCAAGAAGACCGCGAAAATGATAATTGCTGCGAACCCGGTTGCAATTTGGAATTTAGAAAGGGCAGCAAGATGATTCCGACAAGAGAAAAAGCTAAAGCTGAGGTAAATGAGGGGATGCCTGGTCGTCTAATGTGTGGTACAAAAAAAGCATGAGGCACTCAGGTGTTTCCGCCCCCTAGAGATCCGAAAACGGCCCCGAATCCAACCGCCACGCGTCTGGACCACCAGAGCAAGACACGATGTCAGACCGTTGGCTGCTGTGATAAGCGTCTGCACTCTTGCTGCTCTTATCAGCCGGTCGCGGACCCGGAAGGCAAGGGATTGGGGCGTTACCTGCCAAGCAGACTACTGTACTCGAGTAGCTACGGATACCGCTCACGTGGTCCTCAGTTTCCAGCTCGCAATCCATTTGCCAATCCCGTCAGCTACTGTTACGTCAGGAATAGAACCGTGTCTCGGATACCCAACGGAAGATGGGTATTCTACTCTAGCATTTGTATAGCGTCTCATGACTCAAGGGTCTCCCTTGTCACTGAAGGCGGTTCCGGGACAGGCGTCCACTCGGGCTTCCGCTTTGCGATTCCGTTAGAATGCAGGGTTGCGTAGGAGCCATTGGGCACCGCCGTTACGAGAACAATCACAAAGTCTCTGCCACTTGATAAATAGTTCAAGAAATCCCAGATGCCATCAAGCCAGCCGCTCTTCTGCACTCTTACTCATTAACCATCTATCAGTCTAGGTTATTTAGCAGTTGTGTATCTGGAGGCTCAAGAACCGGAGCTGCACTAACACAACCACAACCCTGTCCGCTCTCACGCCGCTCCTGGAGCTGCCCCGCATTGGAGGGGCAAGCTCCAAAAATGACATGGGGGACACAGCTAGCGTAAGCGTGAGCGATGACGCCGCGCACCTTGGCGGACGGAACGAGGCTTGGAGATCGCCTGAGCTGGTTTCTTACCTCTTATCGCAGGGGAACTTTCCCCCTTACGTACATGCTCAGTTAGCATTTCTTTAAAGTCCGTGAGAATTTGCATACCATTTCACTCGTGTAGCTAGCTGTTCGCGCCAGACGAATTACTATCATATTTTTCACAATCCACAGGCGGATTGTCGCTTACCAGCCTCGACTGTCTCGTTGAAACGCTGCCCCCTCCATCCCAACCCCTCGCCAACTGCTTATCACCTCGGCGAGAGCACTGCCAGTGCAGTGTAGGCCGCGCTGTGCCTCTTCCGCCTACACAAAACTCGACAAGCCGTCGCAACCTTCATCCAACCATCGAGCTCCCAATTTGGAACTGGCCGTCCAATCGCAACATTCATCGCAAACATTCTAGCCATGGCGTCCAAGATCACGGCTGACCAGCTCCCGGAGCTGCTTCGCGATGACACCTCGGTCAAGCTCGCCGGCATCGACGTCGACGGCATGCTCCGCGGCAAGCTCGTCTCCAAGAAAAAGTTCCTCTCGATAGCGGAGAGTGGCTTTGGTTTCTGCTCTGTCATCTTCGGCTGGGACATGCACGACCTGACGTACTTCCGAGAGCTCAGGATCAGCAACAAGGAAAACGGCTACCGTGACATCATTGCCTACCCAGATCTCGACACCTTCCGGCGCATTCCTTGGGAGAACAACGTCCCCTTCTTCTTGGTCAGCTTCCATGACCCAGACACGAACGAGCCCTTGTCCGCCTGCCCGAGGGGCCTTCTCAAGACGCAGCTCGAGAAGCTGGCGACTAAGCACTACGGTGCTATGGCTGGGGGTAGGTATTCCCGAAACCTTTGCGGCGTCGGATAGAGCGGCTTTTGCTAACGGATCCTCTACATCAGCTGAATACGAGTTCTTCCAATTTCGAGCACCTGTCCTACCGGCTTCCGAGGGCTCTAGCATTTCGTCCGCCGCTGCCTTCCTCAGAGACAATGTCCCCCACACCCTCCCATCGTTGACCGAAGGCATGTTCGGATACAGCCTGACCCGACCCGTCCACAACCAAGACTATTACTACGACATCTTCAACACTTGCGACGCATTCAAATGCAACATAGAAGGATGGCACACAGAAAGCGGGCCTGGCGTCTTTGAGGCTGCCTTGGAGTTTGGCGAGATCAGGCAGATGGCGGACCGAGCAAGCTTGTTCAAGTAAGTTTGCTGAGCGAGGGTCTCTCTTCGTCAATCAAGGGTTCTGGCGACTAACTCGAGCTAGGTACGTCGTCAAGTCAGTTGCGACCAAATATGGCATCACGCCGTGCTTCATGGCCAAGCCCCGGCAAGGCCTCCCGGGCAACAGCGGTCACATGCATCTCTCCATTGTTGACAAGGACGGCAAGAACCTCTTCTTCCGTGATACTCCCGACCCGCATGCGCGATACTCGGACATCGAAAACCTTTCCGATCTTGGCAGGCACTTCCTAGCTGGTCTCCTAGAAGGTCTTCCCGATATCATGCCCATTGTGGCGCCGACCGTCAACAGCTACAAGCGACTAGTCGAGAACTTCTGGGCACCCGTCACGGTGTCGTGGGGCCTCGAGCACCGCGCGGCGTCGATCCGGCTGATTGCGCCGCCAACTGCCAAACCCGGCGCCACGCGCTTCGAAGTCCGCGTCCCTGGCGCAGACGCGAACCCGTACTACGTTCTCTCGGCGATTTTGGCGCTTGGCTGGCGCGGCGTGGAGCGCAAGCTGGAGATCCCCTGCCCGCCCCTAGGCAAGGGCGAGGAGGTTGGCGGCAAGACGGACATGGGCATTCCCCTCTCCAAGACGCTCCGCGAAGCCACGGACCGGTTCATGCGCCTGGGCAGCATTGCCAGGGAGGTGTTTGGTGACGAGTTTGTCGACCACTACGGCGGCACCCGCGAACACGAAGTGCGCCAGTGGGATGAAGCCGTGACGGATTGGTAAGTGACTTTTTGCCTATGATACTGCACATTACAGCTGCTAACGCGTCTTTGTAAACAGGGAGGTGAGGAGGTATATCGAGACGGTGTGATCTCCACTCATTGACGTCAGGGCTACCAAAACGCCTCTGCCCAGTCGCAATCTCCTAGTGTCCCCTTAGTCCCATGGCGTTTTTAGACCCTTGACGAGTTACTTCTGGGCTGCGGAAGTGGTTTTCTATATTTGCGTTTTGCAGTGGCGTTTCCGGCAACATAGACCGTTTGCTAATTTAGACTTGCTTTTCGCGGGCTTGTTGAGCTACCGTCGTTTATGCGTCATCTTCTTCTCGCAATACCTATCCTGCGACTTCCTATTAGTGTATTTCCCCCACTGGCATTGTAGTTCCCATGTGTCTTGTTGTTAGATGACGGGGATTCTGTGTTTTTTATCTGAATAATGTATTTCCTCCTGCAAGCAACCACATGCGCACCGATAGTTGACATGTGCTAGTGGAGCATGAGTACGAAGCCAGTTGAGCTTGTAGCCACGGGTATGGCTTGTGTGTTTATGATCTACGTTAGTACGCTCATAGTTGCCAGCCATCACGTGTCGGATCATACCTGTAGATGGCTAGGCCAGCTAGAGCCTTTTGCTAATTGGTTTTGTGGTCTAGTTCCGTATCCGTTGTTGGCCACCACGTGTGCGTGATTCATGGCCAGGCGGAAAATGACACGAGCTCGCACCACAGACTGGCATGGCAACTACGTGAGAAAAGGGGGTGGTTCACAATTACTGTTGTCCACCAGCACTGTCCCACAGCAGCTTTACTTGTTTCATCTTGCCAGATCTATACGCAAAGCACAAATGTAACGAGAAATAAAAAAATATGAGAAATACCTATAGAGTGAAACAACTTGCAAAACTGGTAATATAAATAATAACCAAAAGAAAAAAAGAAAGAAAAAAAAAAAAAAAAAAAAAAAACAGCCGCCAACGGCGAGACTCGAACTCGCAACATTCAGATATTCTAGACCTCCCCTGTTGTTTTTTACTTCCACACAGGATTTTGGTTAAAAGTCTGACGCGCTAACCAATTGCGCCACGCCGGCTTTATGGATCTCGTCCGGTCAAGAGACGCAGTGAGAGTGGGATGTGGGAGAAGGGGATCGAATCCACCCTATTATCCTCCTCTGCGGCGGAGCAGCTTTGGGTTTTGGCAGACGCGGGTTTCTTTCTCTCCTTCTGAGTTACGACCTTGTTTCTTTTTTTTGGACGTGGTTGTTTTGTTTTGTTTTGTTTTGCGTTTGTTTACCTAGCTATGTGGTAGGTAAATGCTTGATATTTCCCGTTGGCTACAGCTATGACAATGCTCTTCAGGTTTGGCATTTTGGGATGCTTTTCTTTCCCTCTTTTTGTACCCTCTCCCTTCACTGGCCTGAACCCAAATCCCTTCCCTTCGCTATTTCTCTTCACTCAACCTGACTCGGTCCCAGACGTGCGCTCCCGCGGCTTGGACTTCACGGCAGTATGGCTTGTTCCCAACGGGGCGGATGAGCACGTGGGTGTAAGGGTAAGGGTAGGTAGACAGCAGGGAGGGGCAAGGTATCGCCAATACGCGAATCCGCGAGCCTGCAAAAAGTCCGAACTGTCGAGTACGGTCGTGAGAGAAACGTGCAAGGCATGCTTTTTATACGCGCGCGTCCCATAGTTAGGATCTGCATCCAATCTCAAGACTCAGCAGCAAAGCGGCACCGACTAAACCTCTTGATACCGGGCCGTTCACACACTTCTTCTACCGGTTATCTTGCTTGCTTTTTTTTTTTTCCCGCGCTGGTTCCTGCCGAGTCCGCGCCCAGAGGAAGGCTGTGGGTGAAGTTTATACCAACGACATCCGACACGAGGGGAAGTGTGAGCTGTGGGCTACTTTCCCACTGACAACTTCGTGTGCGACTTCCACTGTGCTCATGGCCAACGTGGCCAAACAGCCGCCGCTGCTGTCCGAAGCTGACTCGGAGGTCGGGGCCTACAACCACGCGGAACGAGAACGGACTTGAAGTGGGGGAAATGGGTATGACTGGCAACAACAGAAGATAACCCCCTATTTTCGGGCGGGTTTCTCCTTTTTCCCGCCTTTTCTTTCTTCCTATTAGAGTTGCCACCAAGCCTCTAGACTCGGAGCACTTGAGCAGCCTCGTCGAGTCGCCCGTGAGTTGTACATGTCATCTAGACGCGCGGTTCGTGCGATCGCTTTGGAGATCAATACGGGTCCCGTCCTTCGTCGCTCAACGAACACGAAAGCCCGTGTTTCAATCCATTGGACAGACTTGTCCGGCCGCAGAGCGACACATGCGACGTGCTCGTCCTCAGCTGACCCACAACAAATCCGAGTGCACTTGCAACAGCGGGTGTGGTTGTGACGGACGGCGGAAGATTTCTTGTCACGGAGGAAAACTCGGCGCGACAGTTCCGCTGTCAACTGTGCACTGTCGACCGCGGCGAGGTTGAGGCTGGGGGGCCGCGCCCCGGCCCGGGTTGGGTCTCTTCCGGGACTCCTTCCGCTTGGCGTCCGGCTCTTCAGTGGGGGAAGACAGGGGCGGTGGGTAGACACAATAAAGAGCGCGAGTGGATGGAACAGCGGGGTTCAGTTTAAAAGAGCGACACAGCCGCCGCCCGTGTCGTGCCGGAACTGGAGAGAGACGCACCTTATGAGCAAAAAGCTTGTCGACCTCGCCAAGCAGTGCGAGCTTGTGCCGCAGCAGTGCGAGCTTGTGCCGCAGCAGCACCGTTTGTGGCGTCGGCACGGGCACAGTTGACGTCGAAAGCACGTTGGGCAGCAGCCAGGCCTCTCCAGAGGAAGCGACCAGTGAAGAGGGTTGGCTCGGAGTCGAGGCCGTGGGTGGCTGCATGTGAGAGGGGTTGCATCCAATGCATGGAACGAGGGCCAGGAATGTAAGGAATCACTGTCGTCGGCAACAGCGGTGCAGTGCAGGACCAATGAGCACGCGTGCAACAGATTAATGTAGATCAACTACTGGCGGTGCGGACTTTTGCTCTTTGGGGTTATTTACTCGCACCACGAAAAGAGTTGCCGGTCCATCATCGCAAAGGTCGCACCCTAGGGTTGCGCTCTCCAATGGACGTCTCGTGCAGGCCTGCCAACTAAGACAAATACTATACCACAGCACTCACGCTGTAACCATGTGACGGCTGGTGTATTGTATGTATATCCAGAGAAGCTGCAGAGTGTGGCGGTCAACGATGTTCGCAATTGCGAAGGCACAACCCCAAAACTGAAAGACGCGCATGTTGCTGGCAGGCAAGCAAGCAGGCAAGCAAGCAGGCAGGACTGTTTGTGACAGCTCGTAGCAGATATTATTTTTATCCGTTAATCAATGTTATCAGGGTGTCATCATTGTCGGCCGCTTCTTACGCCGCGGCAGTGTATGAGCAAGGGCATGGTGGATACTCTGTTAAAGATTCCCGGCGGATTGCAAGTCGCCAGGCGGAAATGTGCTGACGGTCGGCCCCCTTGGGGCAAGATCCGCCGCTCCCCTTTCGTCGATTTGCCTGTGTTGGGTCAAGTTTAAACATTCGTGAGGGAACGGCTAGGACGCACCGCGACAGCCAGCCATCCTCGAATTAAAGATCCAGGACCGAAAGCCCTGGGCCGGAGTCGAGTCTGACATGCAGCTTCATGTCGGGTCAGCACGAGAGACTGGCAACTTGGAAGTCGACAAGGATCCATCGCATAGGTCGAGTTTGGGAGTCGAAAACGGTAGGGGACAAGAACAAAAGAGCGAATCCTCGGCCAACATAGATCGCCGCTTGACGTGATTTTAGTTGTTGCTCTTTATTATTCGTAGAAACAAAAACTCAGACTTCCTTTGCGTACCGGATGGATTTTGCGAAGGTTCCGTGGGTGAGGTAAGCGAGCGTGGCAGTGGCAGCAGTGCCTCGTCAGTGGTTCCCCTCTCCCAGTGGACTGGAACTGGAGCATCCACCAATGAATGCCCTGCCCCATGCTTGCCTCCCAAGGTTCCATGGAAGTGGAACCCAGATGGAAGGACGATCTCTGAGGTTCTTCATTCTCAGCGTCGCCCGGAGATTACACGACTGCGACGTCAATCGCTAAACGCTAGAAACAAACACTCATTCCTCGGGCAAGCCAACCTCCGTTTGGGGCGGACGAGGAATTCCGGACCGGACCGGACTAGCAGGCTTTGAACAACTGGCACCGCCACTGTGACTGGGCTGCCGATAACAATCGACATGGATCGGTCACCCCAAACGCTGCAATCTCCCCACACAGCAGGCAAGATGGCGACAAAACCCCCGCCAATTTACAGCGTGCGCTGTTAGCCTTCTGGTTGTTTCTGCCTGGTGCATCGTCGTCAGCTGTAACCTGGCTGGCTGCATTGGATTGGCGACGGATTCCAGACCGAGTTGTGTTGCTATCGTCGAAAGCAAAGGATCGTTGACTCTTTCGCAGCATGGATGGGATGCGGAGTTGCGCCCGGTGGCGGCCCACCATCTCCCAGGCGAGAGTTATCGGTGGGGTGACGAGACTCACCGCGTCGCCCGCCTCCGGCTCAGCCAACGGATGCCTCTGAAGTTTCGCGCAGTTCAGTACGAACGAGCCGGATGGCTGGCTTCCGAAAACCGTCCAAAAACGTCCCGTTGCTGACATGCTGTGCTGAAACGTTTACCGTACGCCTTCAGCCTTATATGGTGGGTACCTGAGATGCATCCAACGAATGCCAAATCGGACGGGGGTGCCGTCGCTTCTTCACTAATCAGGTAAATAGAGCTGCGGTTATACTGGCTCAGATGGTTTGCCATTTGAAGCTTGAATCGCAACAAATGCAAATAACTCCCGTCGCTGACGAGCTAGCCAGCCGCCAGCGGTGCGCTCAACAACGTCAGCGACATAGTGCGGTATGGAGCAAAAGTTTGGTGATATTCCGCTTATTATATTCTTACCCTTGCATGCTGGCAGTTGTTTGTTCGCTCGCATTTTCACCGCCCAGAAGAAGAGGCCGCTGACATGACGGATGAGCTGATAATGATATTTCCGACCAGTGACTGGTGGAGGAGTTGACGTTTCACAAACAGCCGCCAAATCCTAATCAGGCTGTGAGAGCAAGAAAAGGGAGGGAAAAAGAAAAAAGGCTTGGGCCACTCCTTAGAATTGGCGTGGCTAGACCGTGGCTCGTCGCGTCTGGTTGGTCTTGGTCGTGGGCCCAGGCCGCGGCGCTGGCGGCGGTGCCGCCGCTTCTCCGAAAGCTTGCATCCCTGTGGCAGGCATCGGAACAGCCTGGCCGACCAGCTGGTCGCAATGGTCTCCCAAGCCCAATATGCCAGTTCCATGCCCCCAAAATCCAGACGCCTGCGAATAAATAGCGCCAGTTCCAAGCCAGTTCCAACCTCCAAGCTGTTCGCTTGTCGCCTAGATATAACGTTATACGCGGGGGGTTGGTTCAGCCTGGGGCCCCTCGGAGGAAGTCCTTGGCAGATGCGGTTGGAACTCGGACGCCAACAAGTCGGGCCCGTTTGTTCGTTTTGCGCAACCCCAGCTCAGTGAACCCCGTTGGCCACATTTGAGTTCTTGGCTCTCGTCGTTCACCGGACTGCCTGAGTCTCGACGGCTCAGCACGCCCGCCGAGCTAATAATAAAGGATCCTCCGGTTATCCGGGGGTTGATGACAAGCGACAGTGTCGATCTTTGAGGCAGGGATTGGTCGTGGGCATGGAGGATAGGTACTTTTTTGGATTCCGTACCGAGGTTTCTCCTGTGCCGCACTGCCCAGACTTGAGCCTTTTCCTTGCTCGCTAGCTAGCAAGCCGTACCGACTCCAAGGCACTCAAGGCGCTCTCATGCAACCCCTCAATGGCGGGTTCCCGAAAGCAGCAACCCCTGCGGGGCCTCTAGCGCAGAGCCACGTCAAGAGATCGATCCAGTCACAAGAGCTGGCTTCTCAGGGCTGAGGTCTGTCCGTTTCATTACTACCGCCTATGTAAGGTATTTCGCGATCCCCAATTTACGGTGGCAGTCACTAGTGTGCGCCGCCCGTGGTAGTGCCACCTGCGAACAGTCCCGTTGCAGGTCGGG